GCTTCTTTGGTTGCTGGCTTTTGAATGGGGATGTTGACAAAATGCGACCACACGGCGGACACGTACAATCTCTCTTGATAGCAAATGCATCGCATCAATTATGCAAAAAAATGCATGAAATTGTTCGACGAGGAGAGCTTCATTTGTGATTATGCTTCTTAATTAACGTTATGAATATTCATATTTTAAGCACCAATTGACGAGTTTTATAAGTAGAAGGAAACAGTCAGAGCAGTCAGTGTTTTGTTGGTGCCGGTTGCAGACGGTTGGTTCCGAAGGGTTGTCTGGAAGAACTTGAAGAACGGGCGATGGAGACTGGGCACCGAGAACAACAGCTGCACGAGCGAGCGGGGAAGAGGTGCTGAAGAGAAATGGTACCGAGCGAGCAAGGTTCGAATTGGCTTAGACGACCAAGCGGCGGTGCTGCGAACAATGAACTTCACGACGAGCGGAATGCGGCGAAATCGAAGCTCTCCATCACGCAGGAAGAGTTGGAGAACTTATCCAGTCCAATAGGAGTTTTTATTTGAAGAAGGAGGTGATTTTGTGCCATGCCGTGGCAATGCGGCCCACGAGCATCATTTTCACCTCAGAAAAGGAGGAATATGTGGTTGGTCGCTGAGAAAATAATTTTAAAATGGTATTCTTCGACATACAGCTGGTCCTCGTCAGAGCTGCGGCAAGGAGCATTGATGGTTTAACCGACGCATCGGTATTTGGGTGCCCGTTTTGTTTGCCCCAGAGATATATGGTTTGTGCAAGTGTTGCGATCCAGAATGTGAAAACAGCGAGAGCAGGCTGCCGTGTGAGAACGATTTTGAAATTATACGCGAAATAGAGAAAAATCAGCGCCTTGTAGTCAAGAAGATGCTACTACACTACGTCCTTCCTGTACAGAGTGTGATAAGAAATTACGACAATATCACGATACAGAGCCGTTCGGAAAATCATCTTCATGATAATCACAGAAGAAAAAATTTGCTCCAGAAACCCGCATCTTCCAGCAACAATTACTGTCCAAAACACAATTCATGAACGAAACGAACTTTGCTTTTTATTTTGCGAAAAAGTTGTGAGTACCAGAACCATGTCTGCAAGGAACAAAGCGGTTGCGCCAGGTCTGCGACGAGAACCGGACAGTCACTTGCAGTACAAAATAATTAGAGGATGTGGCAATTCGATTCGACGAAACGCAAAATCCAAGATTTCGTAAATCGATTTGGAGTGACGCAAAATCCGAGATATCGCAATTTTAGTCCGAATGGATGTGTGCACTTTTTTGCGCTATTGTCCTTACCTGTCATGAAAACTTCGGAAAACTCACAGAGCGAGTCGAGTCTTTCAAGTTGGAAAATATCGTATCAGCAATATCTATGGATGTTCAAGATTATTGCAACAGCTTCCAGAAAATCTTGTTTTGAACCTTCCAGTGTTTCTTACTTTATGAAACGTTGTTGTTTGTGTGTTTCCGTGTTCATTAAATCATAACTTCATGCATGGTTTTGTAGTGATTTTCGAAAATGCTCGCATCTCCTGTTTGAATCCTACATGTTGATATAATTTGTTGTATCGTATAAACCATTGAACTGGCAAACTGTACAGAACATCGTCCAATCTGAATCCAGGAAAACTGAAATGAACATATGGCGTCAGAGACGTTCGCTGCTTCAACCGCCTGCTTCCCGGATCAAAATCGACAATGAATATTTGTACCGAGTCGAGGAAAAAGCTTTCATGTTGCCACTTTTACGAGTCGCTGCCATTGTCCGACGAAGCATCGTCGAAACAATTTCTCGTGGAAGCATTTTTGGGTGTAAGGTTTCACGCGACGAACAATCTCTTTAAAAGAAGAAATAAACGGTCGTACAGCTGCACTGGTCAGAGCAATTAGAAAAGTTATCATCTGCAGAGCTGGAAAACTGCAGCTCACCAAAATATTTTTGTTGAAATCTCATCCATGTTATGATCTGCTCTTTTGCTCGACGAATTTGTGCGAGTAAGAATTTGCGGTAAAAAATATCAGGAATACCAAGCTAGACTGAAAAACAGTCATAGTATTGCAGCAGTAGCCGGGCATGAAGGAAACAATCTGTACAGCTTTTGAGCCGTCCGTCCAAACCTACCTTGCGGAAGTTCCTCTCTTGCCTTCGGCACTTTTCTTTTTTTATGTTCCTCGTTCAGGTCTGTTCGGGATATTTGCCCTTTCTAAAATGCCAACCAGCGATGGGTGACCAACCCAGTAACCGCACTGGCTGCTTAAATACATTTCATCCCCTTTCATGTCTTCTACGATGCGATATACGGAATAATATGAAAATAATTCATCGTATATGTTACATTTTTCAACGTTTAATATTTCCAAACGTACTTCGCTGTTGGCTGATATTTGTCCCCAGAATAGCGCTTGCAATTTCGCCTAAATCTAATAAGTAATAATTCGGTATGCGGTACCAACTAAACATTGATGAAATAAAAAAGGCTTTGGTGACCTAGGCGTCATTAGAACCACTTTATCCCTGATAGTAATCCAATCATTTAAGTAAGTTATCATTTGAATGACAGTAGTAATTCGGCGTACGAAATTATGCTATACACTGCAAACTGAGAAGTTTGGAAAAAACCGAAATCAAGAATTTTCACTTTGCCGGATCATTTTAAGTTGCTTTTCACGGGTTCCATCGTGAGTGTTTTTTCCAATTTCTTTACAAGCAAATTTCATTTATTTCAAGCAGTTGTTCAATGATTTAACAACGAATTCTGTTAAAATATGCTAGAACAAAAAAAAAAGAAAACAAAAACAACGATATGTTGTTTTATCGGCAAAAAAAGATAAAGCAATGATCGGAGGGAACACATCGAGGAGTGAGAAAACGCCCAAAACCAACCCGAACTCATTATTACAGCAGATTCTTAAACCGGGACAACCTGGATGCGATCGGCGCAACTCGTGAGCAAGGGTAAAAGTTTCCTGGTAAGGTGATGAGAAGTGGTACCACCGATTGTAACTATAAGGAGTACCAGACAGAACATAACGATCTGCGCTACGTCGAAAATAGTCTGATACTTGAATGAATGAAAATAGCTCTGAAATAGACAAGAATTCAAATTCCCTCGAGATATACCTCAAAGTGCCCAGTGATTGCTGAGAACGATAAGGTATCGAAGTAATCGTGCCCTTTCGGAGTGGTATGCTCAAAACCCATACAAACTTACCAAGGAAATCATGGAACCGAGCAACACATTCAGACATACCAAAGGAATCTGAGAACAGCAAAAACCAGATCAAGTGCTTCTGCTGGAAAAATCGTTGAGCTGGTAATCCTCACCGCAGTGGAAACAAACACCGGGTTCTTCAGTACGCTAATTACCAGACAATGCAACACTGATTAAAAAAAAAGTAACATAGTAAGTAATGCCTTAAAAAAATTACGAAAAAAAGATTTTCTTCAAAAAAATTGTGATGGAATTCCTTCTTTTTTTTTAGAAAAAACATACGAAATTTCAAATTCTCCCATGCAAAAGTCTCGATTTTTTGCCTCAAAAATGCTGGGCTTTCTAATTCTTTGCCATAGATACCGTTATGCCTAAAATTGCGATTAAAAATGCAAAACCGGAACTAAGTTGGAATGAGAGAATTAGGAGATAAGGGATGAAGTGTAAAAAGAAGAAAGTGGAATGGAAGTAACATAGGTATCAAGATTTTCTAACTTTTTTATGTTTGACTTTTCTGTTAGTTGATTTTTTAGGATTTGTTTTTCGAAGCTTTATAACTTTATTGTGCTATTAGTTAAAAAATTTTATTTAAATCAATTTTAAGAACTTTTCGCAACAATTATCACAGTGATCAACTTTCGAAAAAACACGACCCGCAGCAGCAAAACAATAGCATGGAAAGAACAGTGCAAAGAAACAACAAAACTTATAAAGCCTGGCGCAACAGCAATAAGTAGAAATGATCGATACACATCAGCTACAGTTCGCTTTTCTCGGCAGAAGCGTTGGCTGAACAATTCGTCCACCCCAACGTAACCGAAAGTTACCGGATCGCCATTTGATATTTGGATTGAGTACGGCACGGCACCACGTCGGAAATGCTGATCCCTCACGATACAGCCAAACAAACAGGAACTGCGCAAACGAAAAAGGCAGCGGCCCATTCTGAAAAAAAAAAAAAACAACGAAAAACTAGACAACTGTAGCGCGGCTAGCATGGTGTCCCAATCAATTATTTCTGGCATAAGCGGATTTAGGAGGGGAGGGTCTTTCGCTCTCCTCCCTCTCCGCCAGTAGCGGTACAGGCACCAGTGTTGCAAAAGGCCAGGTCTGTTCGTAAAAAAACTAAAGTAACTCTAAATAGCAGTGTACTGCAACTCGATTCCTAGTTTTGAATAGTTCTAGGATAGGAGAGGGCGGTGAAGATTCGTTCCCCCCGCCCCCCACCCCCTTCCGCTCCTCAACTTTCATAGTCTCATTCTCCCTCCCTCCTCCCCCTCCTTTGCACCCTTTCCCCACTCCCCGTTGCCCTCCCCCTCCCGCTCCCTTGCACCCTTTCCCCACTTCCCGTTGCCCTCCCCCTCCCGCTCCCTTGCACCCTTTCCCCACTCCCCGTTACCCTTCCCCTCCCCCAAGAATCCGTCCTGGATCCGCCTATGATTCTGAAGCACACACAATTGTTATTAGATGTGCAGCAAACCTGGACACTGTGAATCAAAGTGTAGTCGCAGGTGATCCAATAGACCAGATGGAAGATGAAGTAATAGATGACCAGGAGTGGTGTGGACGAAAAGAGAATCAGAAGAGCGCAACAACCAAGAACACCGGAAAGGAAGCAGTCTTGCAGAGGTTCCAGTATTATCGTATGAGGTAACATCGCCACACGTAATTTTATCCACCTACAAGCAAAAAAAAAAACAGTCGAACAAATTCATTTATGAAAAAATTTCGCTAAAAAGTTGCCCCCCGACATTACGCATGCATCCATATTTCCAAAAATCCTTTCAAAACTCACTCAAAACTTCACAATCGCTCTAAAAACAAGCGGAGACACTTCCCTGCAATAAAAGTTACTGATTTTCTGGTAAGATAATCCGGATTTACTAGCGAAAATCAACAGTGTTCCTAGAAATGTCTTTCAGTATCAACGGCAGTAATTCACTAGTAAAGCTCTTTAGGATTGTTCCGCTCAGGAGCGGATCCGGGACGGCCTTTTAGCGGACGAGAGGAGGGGATGAAAGGTGTATGGCTTTTGCCGGCAATCAGTGGGAGGAAGGGAAGAGGGGGGAGAAGAAAGTGAAGCTCCTGGAGCAGGAGGGGGTGTGGGAGGAGTGACCGAGGGGTACGGAAGAGAGTTAACACTACCACCTCTGCTCTTCCTTTCCCCTTGGATCCGCTTGTGGTTCTGCTGGGCACTTGCTTGAAAACCAAAATGAAGGAAGTTTGACTTCATACCAGTTTTCATCGGTTTTTTTTTTAGTTTATACAAAAGACTGCTTTTCCGCAGATGGACTGCTCGAACCCAAAATGTCACCATTCTCACTTTTCAAAATGCGGACTCACAAGTCATTACTAGTAATTCGCTATAAAAGACAAAAGATTACAAGACCATCCTACGTTGCAGGTGAAAAAAAAAAA